AACCCACACACAAACCTACCCCCCCCCCCCCATCCCACTCTGCATTTCTCTTCAAACCAAAAAAAACTCTTTCTACAATCCATATTTGTTTCAAGGGGTATAAATCATCATCATATATTTCATTTTTTCTCTATACTCTTCCCATTTTTTCCACTTTATATAATACTTCTCCATCTTATCTATATGCGTATAATACAATCTTTCCAACCCACAAATCTGATTCATTCTGATCATTCAATCCTCCTCTGTCGGCACCTCCCTTTGTTTCCAGAACCTAGGTATCAGACTCTTCGCTGCGCTCAGGAAATGCCAAATCCCTGAATCCTTGTATGATCTCACTGAGAGCTCAGTGATATGGAGAAGACATAACTCTGGATCCAATCTAATATCTATCTCAGTAATTTCTCTTATTAAATAAATAATTTTATTCCAAAACACCTTTATCTTTGAGCATTCCCACCATATGTGATATATCGTACCCACTTCTCCACACCCTCTCCAACACAGTGGTGAAATCTCCCCATTCAATTTGTGTTCCACATTTGGTAAAATGTGCCATCTAACCAAACACTTATAATTCAACTCAACTTCCCGCATGCTAAAATTTTCATTTATTAATCTAAACATTTTCCTCTGCTGCTCCTCATCTATTTTCCTTCCCATATCTTTTTCCCATTTCTCTACATATGAGAAATGGAATCATCCTGGTATAACCACTTAAAGTCCAGTGATATACTGGTACGTCACTGGTCATCAAGTACAGACTTATACGGCGTGTGGTAGCCCATGGGAACAGTACCAACATTACCAACATAATATGCACAAATTTGGCTAGAATGGGACTTTAGCAGTACCAGAACACAAATTTTTTTCTCATAGAAACTTTTTAGTTTCCTTTCAGGCACACATGATTCCAGTTGTAATCAAACACAGCTAGTGCACATACAGTACATATTGGAAGTACAACAATCACACAATACAAACCCTAATCTGTTTTCCTAGATGGAAAATACCCGAATCATATACATCAAGGGAATTTTTCCATGTTAATAATAATAAACAGATTTCTTCTCAATGTGTTTCATGGTCTACCACTTCATCAGGAGATAATGGGGTGTAAGCAAGTTACGTTGCTGCAATTCACTGTACTATACAGCATCAGTATATAAACTTCAGTACCCAAAATTTTCCATAGGCAAAGTTTTAAAAGTCTCTATTCCTGGCTGGATACCAAGATGTTGCCTTGCCTTTGGTGGTGTTTTGGACCAGCGAGCGAGCAATTTCATTAAGGTAAGTAAAAGCCTGACATGGTTCTTATTCCTTCTGTAAAGTCTCTCTGCCCCCCCTCTCTACCCCTTCACTCACATACAAAGTATGGAGCCCACTACACTTCTCCAGTATTATCTAACCCCAAAGACTAACCGGTGGTGTCCAGGTCCCGGCTGGCTCTGCAGACTCTGATAGAAGACGTAACATGCCAACCCAATGCTCAATATCAGGAGGATCTTCCAACGTCTCACCATTATATGATGTGATACAATGATAGTAGAGCTGATTGAGATATCTCAGGATGTGCTGTGAGTAATTACACTGTGTGCAGGTGGAAGTGATCCTGTAAAGGTGTGTCTCTATTACCATAGACAACAATACAACACCTTGTGCAAACTTTATAAAAGAACTCCACATAATTAATTCCATACCTGCATGTTTAAAGATGCAATTGTTAAACTTCAGGATTTCCACTGCACTGATGATGGCCAAATAGCCTGAAACAGCTGTATGCAATTTGAAATAAATGTATCCATAATATTGGGCTACACTTGCACCATACACCAGCGGTTCTGGCCAATATGGCACAAAGCAATTATTATTATTACTATTATTATTATACAGGATTTATATAGCGGCAACAGTTTGCTCAGAGCTGTACATTATAAAGGGGGACAATACAGCAATGATACAGTTCAATACAAGAGGATTAGGAGGGCCCTGCTCCTTGGAGCTTACAATCTAAGGGGGAGGGGCTGGCGGGACAAAAGATAATAACTGTGGGGGATGGACTGGTAAGAGAAATAGAAGATTTGGTTATTAGCTGAAGGCAGGATAGGCTTCCCTGAAGAGGCAGGATAGGGATCCCTGAAGAGATTGCCTAAAAGTGGGCAGAGTAAGCGATAGTCGGATAGATTGGGGTAGAGAGTTGTGGGCGGCTCTGGAGAAGTCCTGGAGACAAGCATGGGAGGAGGAGACAAGGGAGCTAGAGAGTAGGAGGTCGTGGGAGCAGTGGAGAGGATGGTTTGGTTGATATTTGGAGACAAGATCGGTAATATAATTTGTTGCAGAGTTATAAATGGCTTTATATGTTAATTTTAGTGTTTTGAATTTTATTCATTGGGCAATGGGAAGCCAGTGGAGGGATTGACAGAGAGGGGTGGAGGACACTGAATGGAGGCCGGTGGAGGAATGGCAGAGAGATATGGAATGGTTAGTAAAGTGGATCAGTAGCATTCATGATAGACTGAAGAGGGGATAGCCTGCGATGAGGTAGGCCAATGAGGAGGGGAGTTACAATAGTCAAGGCGAGATATAACAAGGTAGTGAATAAGTTGCTTAGTGACTTCAGAGGTTAAAAACCGGCGTGTCTTGGAGATGTTGTGGAGGTGAAATCTACAAGATTTGGACAGTGATTGGATTTGGGGCTGAAAGGACAGATGGGAGTCTAGGATTACACCTAGTACCCTGGCATGAGGGGGGGGGACTGATGGTTGTATAATTGATCTTGATGGAGAAGTCGTGGGAGGGGGCACGGGCTGGAGGGAATAGTATAAGCTCCATTTGGAAAGATTTAATTTGAGGAAGTGGAGTGACATCCATGCCAATATGTCACTTAGTAGGTTAGTAATGTGAGAGGAGACTGAAGGGGTGAGGTGAGGGGTAGAAAGATAGATTTGTGTGTCATCAGCATAGAGATGGTACTTAAAGCCATGGGAGTTTATCAAGTGACCAAGGGAGGAGGTGTAGATGGAGAAGAGAAGGGGTTCAAGGACAGAACCTTGAGGGACCCCTACAGAAAGAGGAAGTGTAGAGGAGACCAAGTTACAGTAAAACTGAAGGAGCGCTGCGATAGGTAGGGGGAGAACCATGAGAGAGCAGAGTCTCAGAGGCCAAGAGAGTGAATTTTTTTTAGGAGGATAAGTAGTAAGAGTACGGAGTAGTGGCCATTGAATTAGCAGTTAGTAAATCATTAGTGAGTTTTGGTAGAGCAGTTTCAGTGGAGTGTAGTGAGTGAAATCCAGACTGTAAAGGGTCAAGAAGGTTGTTGTCGGTGAGGTAGGAGCTCAGGCGATTGTAGACTAAGCATTCTAAAATTTTAGAGGTAAATGGCAGCAATGAGATGGGTCTTCAGTTGTTCAGATTGGTGGAGTCCAGGGAGGGCTTTTTAGGTATGGGAGTGATGTGTGCATGCTTTACAGGGTTGGGGAAGGTGCCAGTAGAGAGGGAGAGATTGAAGATTTGAGTGAGGGAGCATAGGACAGAAGAAGAGCGTGACTGTAGTAGTTGAGAGGAGACAGGGTCCAAAGGGCATGTGGTGAGATGGGCTACTGAGAAAACTTCACTGACCTCTTCAGTAGTAGCAAGGTCAAAAGAGGAAAGTGTTGAGGGAGGTTTAGTTTAACCCCTTAAGGACTGCCCTATAGTAGATTTACTGCTACAGGGTGGCCCCTGTGCGCAGGATCACGTATATATACATTATTCTGCATTCCCAGGTAGGGGGTGCGCGTGTGATTTGCTCTCCCATGGTTTTCATGCCCCTCCCAGATAGCATCAGATTGCCCGTCATTACACCAGTAATCACATTTAACCCCTTGATTGCCAGGAACATAATCATACACAATAAACCTCCATTGCTAGTATAGTGTCTGAATGGATCAATATCTTTGATCAAATCAGCACTATACCAGCGTTTACATTAGTATAGTGTCCCCAAAACCGCAGCATTAGTGGGATCAGCCCCGGCACCTACCAGCACCTGTCTTAATCCCTAAGTTTACCCCCCCTTCTCCCCCAGCAAGTGCAGTGTCATTAGGTCACTGTCACTTGATACATTGCACACAAAACCGCAGTGTTCGCAAAATCAGGCCTGATCTCTGTTAGCACTTGCCGTTAAATTTTGATGACTCTCATATGCAGCAGAGTGCCGGTACTAGTGCCACGCTACCTTTTGGTGAACTGGCGAGCACCAGCAGTCTAGTACATCCTGGTCTTTCACATATCAGCACTGCAGTAACATGGCAAGTCCCATAAGTGCAGTACAAGCTGGTGCTGTGGCGAGCACAAGTATTGTCCCACAACCACCAAGAATTCGCACACAGGTCCGTAGAGCCCCTAGTATCCTTCCGGATGTGCTTGCAAGACCAGATTGGCAGCCCACAAATTCTGCAGCACCCTTACTTCCACCATTCACTGCCCAACCCGGAATTCAGATGGAAAGAGCAAATTTAAATGCTCTCCTTGATTTTTTGGAGCTGTTTTTCACGGAAGATCTGTATGCATTGATTGTGGATCAAAGCATTTTATATGCACAACAATTTATTGCCACCAACCCAAATTCAAACCTTGCCAGATCATTCACATGGAAACCCATTACGAATTAAAAGTTTTTGGGGGGCCTAACCCTCAACATGGGCATTACTAAAATAATTTATTGCGGTTGTATTGGTCCACAGACCCGATTCATCATATGCCCGTGTTCTCTGCTGCCATGGCCAGGCATAGATATGAGAGTATAATGTATTTTATGCATTTCAATGACAATACACTCTGTCGTCCTCGGGGTGACCCTGAATTTGACCGGCTCCACAAAATTCGGCCCCTCATAAATCACCTTAGCAGGTAATAGCAACATTCAGAGAAAGAAGGTGAGAGAAGGCTGGTCAGCAGCTCTTAGGAAAGGGACTCATCCATGAAAAGCGTCAACCATTCGACCGCACTGACAGTTGGAACACCTTGCCTGGCGTTGTGGCCATCTTCTTAATGCAAAAGCTTTTTTTATACATGCTTCGTCTGTGAGTATGTTTTTGTCGTTTATACCTTTGAATAACCCTTGGATAATGCACTAGGTGTGTGCACCACCTGTTTACTCTTTATCAAGTGGCTGATCTCCCCATCTGAGGAGGACTGCACCCCTGAAGCATCTTCTTATGGTTGCCTCTGTCCTGGTCCCCCTGGCTTTCCTTTGGCTGTCCATTTCCTGAAGCACTGGAGAGTACATATGATCTCCTGTACTATGTCCACAGTCTCTGGTCTTCTCCTGTACTGTGTCCGCAGTGTCTGGTCATCTCCTGTAGTACATCCACAGTCTCTGGTCATCTCCTGTAGTATGTCCGCAGTCTCTGGTCATCTCCTGTACTATGTCCGCAGTCTCTGGTCATCTCCTGTACTATGTCCGCAGTCTCTGGTCATCTCCTGTACTATGTCCGCAGTCTCTGGTCATCTCCTGTACTATGTCTGCAGTCTCTGCTCATCTCCTGTACTGTGACCGCAGTCTCTGGTCATCTCCTGTACTATGTCTGCAGTCTGTGGTCATCTGTACTATGTCTGCAGTCTCTGGTCATCCCCTGTACTATGTCTGCAGTCTCCGGTCATCCCCTGTACTATGTCCGCAGTCTCTGGTCATCTCCTGTACTATGTCCGCAGTCTCTGGTCATCTCCTGTACTGTGTCCGCAGTCTCTGGTCATTTCCTGTACTATGTCTGCAGTCCATTGGTTTAGAATATTTTTTTCTTGTTTTCCTCCTCTAAAACCTAGGTGCGTCTTATGGTCAGGTGCGTCTTAGGGAGCGAAAAATACGGTAAGTTTCGGATTTATGAGAGAAAAGATAGTCACATGGAGCCCCCCGGAAGCCCAGACTGCATGGAGAGCAGTGGCAAGATAGTTTGGGCTTTGGTGTCATCCTTTTTCCATATGGGGTACCACTTATACGTGGACAATTTTTATTCAAGCATGCCACTATTTATACATTTGTACAATCTTGGAATTGGTGCATGTGGCACCATGCGACCTAATGTGTGCCCACCATTAGAAGTGGGTGGATGCAGGGCGGTATATTCTAATGGTGGGCATACTACACAGTTTTTCTGGCAGAAATTTCTTCTCTTTTTTACATTCAGCCCACAGGCTACATACAAAAAAAAAAAGAACATAGCATATATACACAACAAGGACCAGCAACGTACTGGTACATCACTGGGCTTTGAATGGTTATACCAGGATGATACCTACAGCTGACGGCATCATCTTGGTATTGTTTTTTTCAGCTGTCAATCAGCTTTCATGTAAAAGCAATCCTAGTGGCTGATTAGTTGCAGGATTGCTTTTACAAGCAGCGGGGAGACCATGACCCCTCACATCCGCTACATTCCATGGCTTTCTCGGGCAGTCCTGTGCCATCGGGGGAACCTGAGAAAGCAGCCGGTGTTTCTGCCAGCTGACCATAGAGCTGATTGGAGACCAGAATGGTGCCAATCATCTCTATAGTCTAAGAAATTGTAAGCTACGAGCATTTCATCACTTCAGTTTTGCAGGATATAAACAGCGCCATTTGTAAATTGGGAAACCATCTGATCACACCGATCTTGGTGAGATTAGATAATGTAAGGGCAGAGGAGATATCTAGAGTCTGATAGACCCCAGATTTCTCACAAAAGAATATATGACAATGCCCATTGATGTTATAGGAAATATTTGCATTCCCTGTGATAGCATTAAAAGTAATCAAAAAAATTGAAAGGGACAATGTAAAAATCATGAAAAAAAATCTAAATAACTTAAAAAAAAAAATCACCCTCGCCCCCCACGCTCGTTGACCCTGTGGCAGTATGTAAACAGCAGTTGCACCATGCATGTGAGGTATCGCCGCGAACGTCAGATCAAGGGCAGTAAGTCTAGCACTAGACCTCCTCTATAAATCTAAAATGGTAGCTTTTAAAGGCTTTTAAAGCATTGCTTATGGATATTAAAAAATAACGAGATGCGCGGTTTAAGCATATATTAGGTTGCAAATTTAATTTTAACCGGAAACTTTATGTTTTTCCATCAATTTTATTATTTTTTTTTAATTTTATTTTTTAATTTATTTATTTGAAGTTTAACTAAAGGCACAACTTTTTTAGTTTTGGATAGAGTGAAGAGGGATTAGAACCCCTGTCAGTTTTTATCGGTCAGTGTCCCCATTGGCGAGATTCACCCTCTCTATTTGTCCTGTTTACCATTATCATTGAAAGTGAAATTAAAACAAAATCCCAAATTTTAGGTTGTCCCCAGAAAAGTAATAGAGGGGAAATGTTCTAATAGGGACACTAGTCCTGGTGGCCTTGGGGTCCCAAAGGAATTCATTTAATTTGCAGAGATTTCTTCTCTGCTCCTGTTAGGCTATGGGGCAGGATGTGAAGGGAAATCTCCGCAATGGGACACATGGTGAACAAAAAAATCTGAATAGAGGTTATAACCTTCCCTTACTCTAGTCTAGCCAAAATGAAAAAAAAAATATTTTGCCTTTAGTTCTACTTTAAAACAGATGTTTTAGATGTTTTTTTTAACTAAATAAATATTTAGTTGTCTTTAAACAAACGTCCACATTTTCCAAAGACTGTAACCATGACACAATATTCACAGAGCAGAACAGAGTATGTTCTATAATTAATTAAATAATCATCTTAACCTCCTTAGCGGTTTTCCCGAGTGTAGCTCGGGGTAAAATTTCAATACCAAGAGCGGTAACCCCCCCTGAGCTACACTCGGGCTTACCATGCGGCGTTGCTCTGGGGGTCCCTGCAGTACTTACCTTGTCCTTCGCTCCCACAATGTGTCCCCTGCAGCGTCCCCGGCCATCTCCTCCGGCCGATGCCGGCATCCGGCTTCTGTGTTCCGGTCCCTGTGACGTCGGGACTTACGGGAAATTTGAAATTTTTAAAAAATTTAATTTTTGCTGTCATTGCTGTTTCAATGCATTTCACATTTATTTTGTCCCTACTGCTTTGTCCGGCGCCCTGCCTGCATTTTGAATGTTCTTTCTGCCTGGAAACTTAGAAAAGTCCATGGCGTCCAAAAAGCATCCCTTTACGTCAAAAGCGGTTTTAGAACAGCGATAGTAAAGCAGAACCACTTGCAGAATTGAGTGATAATGATTCGTGGGGGAAATTCGTCATCAGACACTGAAAACGATTCTGCGACTGAGCTCAGCGATGTGCGAACTTGGCGCTCTATTTCACATTTCAGTGTTTTTGGTTTGATTATATTATTGAATTAAATGTATTATTATTATATTATTATTTTTTATGATTATTTATTATATTATAATTTATGATTTCGTGTTTCAAGTTTTATCCTACCCGGGATGTTTACTAGACTCTTGTTCGGACAGATTTCAGTGAGTTATTCCTAATAATACCAGCCTACAATAAAAAAAACTACATATTTCCATGCAAAAAAAAAATGTACCGCTTTCAGCACAAAAAATCGGAAAGAATCAGACCGCTGAGGAGGTTAAGCAAGGGCTAGTCAATGTGAGTTTGGACTCACTGCTCCAAAACATTAACTTGCATATGCAAATTTACCCTTGAGCTACTGTGCTCTGTGAACAAAAAAAAAAAAAAGTCAAGTCTTTAAAAAAAATACATTTTCTATTTATCTGAAAATATCTTCAGATTTTATTTTCTGATTCCATAATAAATAGAGATATTATAAATAAAACCATTAAATATTTCCTTTAGTCCTCTGAAGCATTTTAACATTGATAAGGTATGATCTTCACATTTTATTTTAGTTTAACATAGAAGAAAGAGAGCGGGAAAAGACCAATTAGTCCATCGAGTCTGCCCTTTTTTAACATTTATTTCTATATTTACAATAACTTTTGTGCATGATGGATATCCAAAAGCATGTTTAAAGGATACGATAAGTGTCTGAAATCAACATCTATACTCACCTATATGGCAGCAGCATTTGTCCGATACCTCAGCTGTCCCCCGCCAGAGTCACATGAGTGCTAATCGCTCAGTTCTCAGTCGTCACTGAGCAGAGAGTGGTAAACGTCAGTCACTGTTCTCTGCTCTGCCCTTCCAGTTCTCACTGGAGCGCTGGGCTGTGGAGGTGGTGGGAGCAGCTGGATCAGGTTCTCAGCGGCATTCTGAGAGACTGAGCCAGCTGCCATTGAGGCATCTGGATAGATCCCAACCTTACAGTCGGGATCCTTCCAGAGGCTGGACTGGCTCTGTGACATGAGCCTATATTGGGCTCTAGGCTACTGTTGGATGAATCTGGGTCACATCAGTGCAGAAATAAGTACACTCCTGTGATCCAGAAGATATTTCTCTTTTAAATTCACACACTGTTGTTGGATGTCTGTTCTAAGCATCAACTATATTAATACGAGGAGCCTTCAAGTCAAACCGGGACTTTTAATTTTACAGGAATAAATGGGATGCCAGCGTGGTATCAATTGACAAGTGTGTCCTATTACTGATAGGCGACGCACATGTCGTGGTCCAGTCCAGACCAGGGGTGGACTGACCATTTGGAAACTTGGGCACTGCCCGAGGACCCAGGGTCAGTAGGGGGCCCCATGAGATGCCCTTGGTACCTTTTTCATAGGTTTTTTTGAGTTTGGGCAAGGACAGAGGAGCCCCATGATCTCCTATTTCCCGGGGGCCCCATGAGTTGTCAGTCTGCCCCTGGTCCAGACACTGTTAATCAAGATGGAAGATAACAGTGTTAGTGTGAGCATGGAACAGCATGTGGCGGTGAAGGTGTACAACCCACAGATATCTACAGAAGACTTCAAGTACTGTACGGTGATGAGACCAGGGGAGGACTGACCATTTGGAAAGTTGGGCACTGCCCGAGGGCCCGGGGTCAGTAGGGGGCCCCATGAGATGCCCCTGGTACCTTTTTCATAAGCTTTTTTGAGTTTGGGAAGCACACAGGGGCCCCATGATCCCCAATTTCCCGGGGGCCCCATGAGTTGTCAGTCCACCCCTGGATGAGACCATCAGCCGCAGTAAGACACTTAAATGGTGTAAACATTTCAAGAATGGCTGTACGTCTGTCAGTGATTATCCTGGCGCGGTGGTTGCCAGCCCACAGCAGTCATTCCTGTGAACATTCAGCGCGTGGAACACCTGATCCTAGATAATCAATGGATAACCTGTTATGAAATTGCACAAGAGATGAATTTTTCTGTGGGAAACACAATTGCTCTCAAATTATTTAGGATGGTTCAGGCGTACTGACAAATATTTCTATGCGGAACACTGGGATAAGTTTATAAATGTAGTAGGGGAGTATATTGAAAAATAAATGCAGTTTCCACTCCTTGAAATTTGTTCTTTTATTATATAACTCAAAAGTCCCGGTTTGACTTGAACACCCCCCGTATATTCCAAGGTTAGTTTTGAACTTTTCTTCTACTGGTTTGAGGTAATGCCTCTATGCTCTTGATCTTAACATGATATTAAAAAAAAAGCTGCTTTCCTGAACCTCATTTACAAATCTCATTTAAACCTCCCCCCCCCCCCCCCCCCTTTCCCTTTTTTTTCCACAAAGCTGTATTTCCTTTCAGTTTTTTATGCAGGAACATCATGTGTACAGCCTCAAGATAAGAAGGGAAAGAATGCATATGACCAAAAACATTATAATACATTAAGGGTGTTAATAAAGTTAGCAAGTTAATCAGTTGTATTTAAAAAAAAATAAAAAATTAGCAGTGTCCGAGATGCAGATGTAGAGACCCTTGTACATGCATTTGAAGGTACCAATAAAATTCAATGGGCAATGAGTAAAGTCCAGGTTTCGAATGATCATTGTCAAAGTAGTGGTAAGGGATCCAAATTCCGTCCAGGTCCTCAGAATAGGGCCAGAATCCATAGAGCGTCACTCTTTCACAAATTTCAGCCGCCACACTCACCATCAAGAAGCCAGAGGATAGTTGCCGAAACTTAAGCCCTGCTTTTTTTCCAGTGGGCATTCACTTTCCGGAAGTAGTCTGGGTTGAAAAAGACAACTTTGCTCTTCAAGTCAAGGTCTTCGACAATGTAGAGCGCTCGAAAGGAAACATCAGTGTACCCAGAAAATGAGAAAGCTGGTAGGAGGATGAAAGAGGAGCTGTACTCCTTCACCATGGTGATGAATGATGTCCGACTCTCCCTAAGACTGCTGAACCTAATAGAGGAGACATAAACAACTTCAATAAAAAGGAATATACATCTTCACCCCAATAGGTTCATGAGTTTTTTGTTTTTTACATTACATTACTTTTCTTCACAAGGAATATGCAGTTCAGTTTTGAGCACCAATTCACAAAAAGAACATTGGGGAACTGGAGGAAGTACAGAGAAGGGCAACCAAACTGATAAGAGGCATGGAGAAGCTCAGCTATGAGGAAAGATTAGAGGAAATGAATGTATTCTCTACTGAGAAGAGGAGATTAAGGGGGGATATGATCTCCATGTATAATACATAAGGGGGGATATGATCACCATGTATAATACATAAGGGGGGGATATGATCTCCATGTATAATACATAAGGGGGGGATATGATCTCCATGTATAATACATAAGGGGGGATATGATCTCCATGTATAATACATAAGGGGGGATATGATCTCCATGTATAATACATAAGGGGGGATATGATCTCCATGTATAATATATAGGGGGGATATGATCTCCATGTATAATACATAAGGGGGGATATGATCTCCATGTATAATACATAAGGAGGGATATGATCTCCATGTATAATACATAAGGGGGGATATGATCTCCATGTATAATACATAAGGGGGGATATGATCTCCATGTATAATACATAAGGGGGGATATGATCTCCATGTATAATACATAAGGGGGGACATGATCTCCATGTATAATACATAAGGGGAGATATGATCTCCATGTATAATACATAAGGGGGGATATGATCTTCATGTATAATACATAAGGGGGGACATGATCTCCATGTGTAATACATAAGGGGGGATATGATCTCCATGTATAATACATAAGGGGGGATATGATCTCCATGTATAATATATAAGGGGGATATGATCTCCATGTATAATACATAAGGGGGGATATGATCTCCATGTATAATACATAAGGGGGGATATGATCTCCATGTATAATACATAAGGGGGGATATGATCTCCATGTATAATACATAAGGGGGGATATGATCTCCATGTATAATACATAAGGGGGGATATGATCTCCATGTATAATACATAAGGGGGGATATGATCACCATGTATAATACATAAGGGGGATATGATCTCCATGTATAATACATAAGGGGGGATATGATCTCCATGTATAATACATAAGGGGGATATGATCTCCATGTATAATACATGAGGGGGGATATGATCTCCATGTATTATACATAAGGGGGGATATGATCTCCATGTATTATACATAAGGGGGGATATGATCTCCATGTATAATACATAAGGGGGGATATGATCTCCATGTATAATACATAAGGGGGGATATGATCTCCATGTATAATACATAAGGGGGATATGATCTCCATGTATAATACATAAGGGGGGATATGATCTCCATGTATAATACATAAGGGGGATATGATCTCCATGTATAATACATAAGGGGGATATGATTTCCATGTATAATACATAAGGGGGGGTATGATCTCCATGTATAATACATAAGGGGGGTATGATCTCCATGTATAATACATAAGGGGGGATATGATCTCCATGTATAATACTGCCTGTTTGTGGTGGAAAAAAAAACCCTGATGAGGCATTTTGTTAGTCAAGACCTGACATGAGTTTAGTTAGTAAGTGGAAAGTGTGTATGCTTTGTTTGTTTTATGATATGGACCTGTTTCCCAAAAGCCCTCCACCATTAAACTGTGTTAGTTTTCTGCCTTGCTGGGAATTTTAAGAACGTGAGATAACCCAGAGCTAGTATGCACAGTACATATATAACGCGGAGATGTGAACCTGTCCCATAGGAAATCATGTTAAATGGACTGGACAGCATTTCTGCAAAACACTGCAGAATACGCTTAGGTGTGAACCTGGAGCTATAGCGGACTGACCATTAGGGAACTTGGGCACTCCCCGATGGCCCGGGGTCAGAAGGAGGCCCCATGAGATGCCCCATTACCTTTTTCATATACTATTTGGGTGTGGTTTGAGTGTGGGCAAGGACACAGGGGCCCCATGGTTCTCTATTTCCCAGGGGCCCCATGAGTTGTCAGTCCGCCCCTGACCTGGAGTTAAGTCTAGGTTCACACCTATGCAGGTTGCGTTTGAGGCATTTCTGCACTTGTGTTTTTGACGTGTTTTCACCGCGTTTTTGATGCTTTTTTGAGTTTTTCTGTTTTACATTTTTCTAGTTGCTAGGCAGATTTTAAAAACAACAAAAACACAGCAAAAGCGCAATACAAGCTTTTCTGCAGCATTCCCATTGAGGTTTATAGATCCAAAAACGCAACATTTTGCTTTCACAAAAGTCCCTGACCCTTTCCAAAAAAACGCACCGGGGTGAAAACGCGGAGATGTGAACGTGTCCCATAGGAAGTCATGTTAAATGGACTGTACTGCGTTTCTGCAAAATGCTTCAGAATACGCTTAGGTGCGAACCTAGAGTTAAGTCTATGCAGGTTGCATTTAAGGCATTTCTACAGTGCATTTTGCTTTTTTGCACATGTTTTTGCCGTGTTTTTGATGCGTTTTGCGTTTTATTTCTTTTTTAAATTTTTCTTGTTGCTAGGCAGGTTTTAAACGCAAAGCACATTAAAAAAGTGGCAAAAACGCAGCAAAAACGCAATACATGCTTTCCCATTGAAGTCTATAGAACCAAAACCGCAACATTTTGCGTTCAAAAAAGTCTGTGACCCTTTCCAAAAAACACACCAGGTGAGAACGCTGAGATGTGTCCCATAAGAAATCATGTTAACTGGACTGTACTGCATTTCTGCAAAAAGCTGCAGAAAACGCTGAGGTGTAAACCAAGGGTTAGTCATGCCGACCCTGCATCCATTTTTTTTCTTCTCTGGGTCGCACTTTATATTGAGCACGCATGCCATATGCATGTCACGGAACACGATACCTTGAGGAATGAAGTCTCTCGCTGGATATTTTGGGACTTTTTGGAATTTTGTATTTGTTTATATTAGTTTTATGTGTATGTTGAATATATATGAAGTTTAAAGGGGAATTCTGAATTATTAAGCACTGTATGTACAAGGGACGTTGGGATTTATTGCACTTTTTTGAGTTATATAATCAGTTTTATCACGAATTGTGTTTTATCCGTTTACATGTGCACAAACTTTTTTTTTTTTATCATTTTCTTTGCACATTTTTAGTGAGTTATACAAATTTAGTTATGCTGCAAATTTTTTTTCTAATATTTGTTTTGTTATCAGTTATATCATTGGATCGATCAATAATTGTGTTTTATGTGTTAACATGTGTTTGTCATTTTCTTTCTCTGCACATTCATAGTGATTATACATCATCTCCAACCTCATCCACAGATACCGCCCAAATCGCCTGCTCTGCTCCTCCCAAGATATCCTCCTCTCTTGCTCGCTCATCATCTCCTCCCACGCTTGCCTCCAGGACTTCTGCAGAGCCTCTCCCATCCTCTGGAACTCCCTACCACAGCATGTCCGGTCAGCTAGCACCCTGTCTGCCTTTAGGCGATCTTTGAAAACTCACTTCTTCAGGGAAGCCTACCCCACCTCCACCTAAGAACTGTACTTGAATCACCTCCACCAGATCACCCTCCGCAGCTATCACCTTTTGTATCACCTCCCCCTTCCTTTAGATTGTAAGCTCCATGATCCGGGCCCTCCTATTCCTTCTGTACTGAAATGTATTGTAATTGTACTGTCTCCCTTATATTGTAAAGTGCTGAGCAAACTGTTGGCGCTATAAATCCTGTATAATAATAATAATAGTAATTTATACGCATTTAGCCCAGGTTCACATATGTGCGGTGCGGTATATCGCATGTGATTCGCACAGGAACTGCACTGCATTACTGTGCAAATCACATGCGATATACCGCACCGCATTCCTGTGCAAATCACATGCGATTTGTGTGCGGAGCGATCGGACCCTGCATTTACTATATCCGCTCTCCCCGGACCCTGCATTCACTATATCCGGTCTCCCCGGACCCTGCATTCACTATATCCGCTCTCCCCGGACCCTGCATTCACTATATCTGGTCTCCCCGGACCCTGCATTCACTATATCCGGTCTCCCCGGACTCTGCATTTACTATATTTGGTCTCCCCGGACCCTGCATTCACTATATCCACTCTCCCCGGACCCTGCATTCACTATATCCGATCTCCAGACCCTGCATTCACTATATCCGGTCTCCCCGGACCCTGCATTCACTATATCTGGTCTCCCCGGACCCTGCATTCACTATATCCGATCTCCAGACCCTGCATTCACTATATCCGGTCTCCCCGGACCCTGCATTCACTATATCTGGTCTCCCCGGACCCTGCATTCACTATATCCGGTCTCCCCGGACCCTGCATTCACTATATCTGGTCTCCCCGGACCCTGCATTCACTATATCTGGTCTCCCACGGTACACACAACATGGAAATGCAATTATTTTAGGAAATACAAACTGCTAAATACCTTTTCTTATCAGCAGTATACAGTACAGCAGTCTTGTGACTTCTATCAGTGTCCATCTGAGCAGTGGTTGAAGCTTGTAGGAGGAGTTTTCATTTTGCTCTATGAGGATGCAGAACCCCTGACCTCTGTCTGGACAGTGCTGATTGGCCCTGTGCTGATCACATGCACTCTCCCAAAAATAAAACCTGTCTAGCAATACACACCAAACTGAGCATGCGCAGACACGTGTCTCCACACGACATGTCTTATCAGGAGATAAGAGGGGGACACTGGAAGAGAGGGAGAATCAGAAGACAGGATCAAACAGCATTTTTACACAATGCAGAAGATTAACCCCTTAGGTTCCACAGTGAGTATAACAAGCATGCTTTACTGCATCTACAGACTGATTGTACTGTTGTGGGTTTAGTAACACTTTAGTGGTATATTGGTACATAGGGGAGCTGGATTTTAGAAAAAAAAAGGCAAATTTAGACTTTCATTTTTGTTGAGCGACTTTCAATGACATTAGGTAGACCTGAATGGATCAGGAGGCTGCAACCAAGAAATAGTCGCTGGGCAAAGGTGTACAAAGGAATTTCAATCAACAATTTATATATCAATCCAATTTATATTAGGACAGACAGCACACTTACTGACTAAGTAGGGTATCTGGGTTTGCGGTGACAAGATCAGTCTTTTTCCCCACATCATCCGTCCTGTTCAGTGGAGGAAAATGTAACCTAGAAGGTAAAAAAAATGGGAAGATTTAATGATTGAGGATGAGATAAATGGTAACAAATCTCATCTCGTTTCTTTACTCCTACCGGAACACAAAGTCAGCCCGGTCAATCTCAGATCCACAGAAGCTGCTGTCTAAAATTCCACCATTACCCACCACCGCACAGTTTTTTTAATGGTTTCTTGAAAGGAGATTTCTGCAATGAGAGAGGCTGGATATTAATATTAAATTTACTAAGCTTTGTTACGGTGAAATACCGGGAACTTCTATACAAATACAGGTTCAGTTCACACATAGGCAGCCAAGTGCTTGTTCCATATTTAGGATGCATCCAGCTTATCAACCAGAGGCTCTGGGTGGACAGTTGGATAAATGGCTCTATATTTAGGATGTATCTGGTCTATAAACCGGAGGCTCTGGATGGACAGTTGGATAAATGGCTCTATATTTAGGATGTATCCGGTCTATAAACCAGAGGCCCTGGATGGACAGTTGGATAAATGGCTCTATATTTAGGATGTATCTGGTCTATAAACCAGAGGCTCTGGATGGACGGTTGGATAAATGATTCTATATTTAGGATGCATCTAGCTTATCAATCAGAGACTCTGGATGGACAGTTGGATAATTCGTTCTATATTTAGGATGTATCCAGCTTATCAACCAGAGGCTCTGGATGGACAGTTGGATAAATGGACCTATATTTAGGATGTATCTGGTCTATAAACCAGAGGCTCTGGATGGACGGTTGGATAAATGATTCTTTATTTAGGATGCATCTAGCTTATCAATCAGAGACTCTGGATGGACAGTTGGATAAATGGTTCTATATTTAGGATGTATCTGGTCTATAAACCAGAGGCTCTGGATGGACAGTTGGATAAATGGTTCTATATTTAGGATGTATCCGGTCTATAAACCAGAGGCTCTGGGTGTACAGTTGGATAAATGGTTCTATATTTAGGATGTATCCGGTCTATAAACCAGAGGCTCTGGATGGACAGTTGGATAAATGGTTCTATATTTAGGATGTAACCGGTCTATAAACCAGAGGCTCTGGATGGACGGTTGGATAAATGGTTCTATATTTAGGATGTATCTGGTGTATAAACCAGAGGCTCTGGATGGACGGTTGGATAAATGATTCTATATTTAGGATGTATCCGGTCTATAAACCAGAGGCTCTGGGTGTACAGTTGGATAAATGGCTCTATATTTAGGATGTATCCGGTCTATAAACCAGAGGCTCTGGATGGACGGTTGGATAAATGGTTCTATATTTAGGATGTATGCGGTCTATAAACCAGAGGCTCTGGATGGACAGTTGGATAATTCGTTCTATATTTAGGATGTATCCGGTCTAACAACTTGAGATTCTGGGTGGACAGTTGGATAAATGGTTCTATATTTAGAACGGAGTGTTTTGAAAACGCTGCTAATATTACCTGTGTAAAGTCACGTTAACAACATGAGTTTTCCAGCTTTTTTTTTTATCATTTTTGAATTAGCCTTTAGCGGCGTTTTATGGCGTTTTCCTGCCTTTGCATTTTTAGCGTTTTTTAGCTTTTTTGGTAAAAAAGTCCAAAAATGCCTGTTTGTGGCAGTTTTACTGTGTTTTGCTGTGTTTTTCAGCTTCAGTCCTCATGCACACTGAACGTTTTGATAATGTTGGTAACATTAGCTGTGTAAAGTCAAGTAAAAACTTTGAGTTTTTCATCTATATTTAGCATTTTTGCATTAGTGTGTAGTGGTGTTTTTCCGCGTTTAGCGACGTTTTTCCGTGTTTGCGTTTGTTAGGGGTTTTTTTCACCAAAGAAAACATTTTTTTGGTAAGCTGCTGGCATCTTAGCAACCACTATCTTTCTTTGAATAATAGACTTGAAGCTTTGCTGTCAGTCACAGCAAGCAGATTGAAGGTAGAGGACCACTGTGGAACATTTACTTTGTGCGATATTACTTTTTGGACCTTATTATTATTATTTTTATAAGGCACTTTCTGTTCAGTGTGTGTGTGTGAGATTATGTGCGATTATATAATATTTTTTTTTTTTTTTGCGAATGACTAACCATTACCATTGGTACTATGAACCTCTTACACATTTATGTGGAGGGGGTGAATATCTGAGGGTTCCAGATTTGATAAAATGCCCTCCCTGCATATACCCACATCCACTGAGCTAGGGATGTGGGAATAAGACCCTCGCCCCATCAACATGGGAATACTGTGCTTTGCCTGGCATGTTACCCTACTCATACCAGAGCCACATCAAAGATAAGACTCTATTATTGATTTTAGGGGCACCCACACTGTTTTTTCTTTGAATCAGCATTGGTTGTGTACAGGGGCGGACTGACCAATTGAGCTCCCGGGCGCTGCCCAAGGGCTCGGGGTCAGTAGGGGGCCCCATGAGATGCCCCTGGTACCTTTCATTTGCTTTTTCATAGGCTTTTGGGTGTGGGCAAGGACACAGGGGCCCAATGTCCCCTATTGCCAGGGACCCCATGAGTTGTCAGTCCACCCCTGGTTGTGTAGCACTACACAGCCAGTCAACACACGCCTTCTTCTTCCACTCTTGCACACTGAGACAGTAACTAGTCCTTAGGCTTGTTTTTGTGATATTATTAAGGGGTATTGGACCTGGATGGGGTTGAGGGATGCATGGGATGCCAAAGGAACTGTGAGGACAAACTATGTACAAGTCTATGGAAAAGAAGTAAAAACTTGTCTCTTCTTTGAGAGCACTCCAGTTCTTCAGACCCCAGATGAATCCTCCTCTTCACCCAGCAGTGCTAAGGGTAATCCGTGGGCAAGGGGACCCAGAAGCTGCCAAAGATTAAAGAGTCTCGGCTGAGGATCTATTTGGGTTTTCCACCTAATTGCCCTCTCCCCTTATCCAGCCCAGGGTTTGTAAAGTTACTCACACTGTCCTTCCTGGTAGCTTTATGGGTTTGTGGCTGACTTCAGGCCCTCCACTTGGCTGGCCCACTGCCCAGGCCATCCCTTTTATTAGACGGTGGTACATTGGAGGTCCCCTCTTCCAGCACCTGCCTGTAGGTAGGCCCCTTCCCTGGGCCCCATCCCAGGCTCCACACTCCAGTCTCCTACTCCATCTTCCATGTGACACACACTGACCATTTCCTGTTGACCAGGCTCAATCAGGGGCGGACTGACCATTCGAGCAGTCGGGCACTGCCCAAGGGCCCGGGGTCAGTAGGGGGCCCCATGAAATGCCCCTAGTACCTTTTTTATAGTCTTTTTTGAGTGTGGGCAAGGACACAGGGGCCCCATGATCCCCTATTGCCCGAGGGCCTCATGAGTTCTCAGTCCACCCCTGGGCTCAATCATACCTGAAGGTTAGGAACCAAGCATCTTCTTTTTGTTTTTTTGTTTTTTCTTTTCTTATGATCCATATCAGGCCCTCATCTAGTTTAAGGGTCTGGTATGGATATAGCGAGTAACCTTTTTTAACTAACAGAGGGAAGCTGGCAGTAAAATATAATTTACTGGCAATTTAAATTGTACTTTCTTTCTTTGTAAATGTCATGTGTGCTTGTGTACATCATACAGGTAAGCCCTTCACAAGCCGGTATATGCCTCCTCCAGGCAAGTTAAATATGGAATTGCGCATCTTAATATTTCACTTTAAGCATTATTAAAAGAGCTGCTCCCTCCAAATATTATTTTAAACTTTAATACTTTGCATGGGTACATGCCCCCTCATCCCCGTCTAACTATTGCTTTCTCTCTCTCTCTGTTCCTCATGCCAAATCTTTCTCACAAATGTTAAATAGCAGCTGTGAAAACTGTGTGTAAAAATTGACTTTACCTTTGATAAGTTTTCCTTCAACACGTACCTTTGGTAGGATACTATAAAGGCTCTCGGTAACATTTCTGGATTTCTGGTGTTGTGGTTCATACTGAATGATTTGTCCCATCGGAGTGTTCTCCTGTGTCACAACCAGCGAGTAGGAGGCATTGCAACACTTCCGAAAATTTGTCCTATGTAAGATGTGGAAGCTGTTATTAAATCCTGAGAGTTACAACAAATGAAGGTACAGGTTCAGCTGACTACAGTATATTTGAAAGGAAACTTGTGCCATGTGTGCTGAAAAGTATACGAAGACAGCAAGCTTTAGGATTGCATTGTTAATGGACTATTTAAGGAGTCAGGGTAGCACAACATGTATGGAGACATTTTCTCTCGCGTGCTCTTTCTCTCTTCTCTGCCCCCCCCCCTCTTTTTCTCTT